TTTTTTTTTTCAACTAGCCATTTTTGATGAATTCACGGATTTACAGCAATTGCAATCTAAAACATGTAAAGACAGACATTTATGTATATGTGAAAAAAAAAAAATGTGAACAGTGCATGTAAAATAGCTCTCTGTTATTCCCATAATTGGTGCATATGTGCATGCACTTGTTAAGCAACGCCGCAGGAGAGCTTGCATGTGCAGGCGAATTGCGGTCGTTTTGCGCCCACTAAATAGCTAGCAATTAAAAAAAAAGCAATTTGTGCATTCTTGTAGCAGTCGTTTGCATGACCAGGCAAATAAAAAAAGCCCACCTAAATGCGCACATACGTACGTACAATGTGGCGTGTACTAAATTATTTTTTATTTTTAAGTTGTCTTGTCTCTGCGGTGTATTAAATGCGAACTTGAGTCTGCCTAGCATGTGCGCTCGCTAAGATAACGTTAGACTTAACAAAATTGGGACAAAAAAAGAAAAGAACACAAAACAGCGGGGTGGCAACACAAACAATTCGCACATTTTTACAAAAGTGAAAAGCGTCCAATTTCGTTTTTATGCCCTATTTTTTTCTTTTTTTATCCGAATTGGGGAATGCTTACTAAAGGTTAAGTGAGAAGAATAATGATGTCCCCTTGATGTGTGCAACTTTTCCCAATGAGCTCGCTGAGAACGATTTTTTCCCTTTTTCCTTCTACGCGCCCTTTTTATGGGAGTAATTACGCTCTGTAAAAGGGGTGTTGCTTCACGCCGTTTTCCCCCTTCCTAAGTTGGCAGTGGCCCACGTGTTACCTCCTATCACCACGTACAGAGAGCAACCCCGTTGCATTTCCACAAAAGAAAAAAAATCAGATTTGAAAATATAAACACATGTGCACAGGACATAATTCTGTGTTATATTCGGCACCATCCGTTCAAATTAGGATTCACCCTTTTGGTCTATTTTTTTCCTACACCATTTGGCGAAAGAAAGAAAAAAAAAGAAGAACGTTACCAGCCATCAGCACCCTTGTGTACCCTGGTGTGGCAAAGAGATCATGCTGCTATTTTTGGGAAGGCTGCAACATGCGCCAGGGCAATTTCCCTAATTTACAAAGGCATGAAAATAAAAAGTGACTTCACGCCAGGGAAATTAGGACACACCTCTGACGGGGGCAACATTACGCTTGGGGCAAAAAAAATAAGACATGAGTGAATAAACCCAGCTGGGAAAACTGCAAACAGATCTGTTTACTTGTATACACATGCAGCTGTGCAATTGTGTATAGTTTTCCTTCGCGAATGTGCACCGCTTGGTTAGATAAAAAAAAAAAAAAAAAAAAACGCAAAAAGGCAGCCTATAAAAATGGCGTCACATTAAAATGGCAAAAAAGCAGAAAAATATTTTTTTTTCCCCCCACCGTGAAGGAACAGCGGAAGCAAAACTCCGGGTGTACAACTTGTCACATCACCATTTCACATTTCTTCAAACTGCGTTTGCGAAAGAGGCTAGGTGTTAGAGACATCCACGATGGTATAGCAATTTGTACGAACTAATGTTTTTCCTCTACACCCTCCTCCATTGTCCATGATAATTGTTTTTTTTTTTTTTTTTTTTTTTTTAACAAAAAAATGTTAACCTTTTAACTGTGAAAAAATCTGAATGATCGGCCAGTTACCAAGGAAAAGGTGGAAAAAAAAAAAAAAAATTCCCTGTGTGTATATCTTTTTTTTTTTTTTTTTTTTTTTTCTTAAACTGTTTTAGCAAAATTGTTCTACCACCTCAATTGTAATTATTTCATTGGAGAACAGAAAAATGCACAAATTAGGACCATTACTTTGGCTGACCGTTACTATGCTTTGCTATGTTTCTTCTTCTGTTCTTTTCCCCCCCTTGTAACCGTTTGTCGCCCAATTTAGTTCGCCATAGCAGCAAAGCGCATGCGTCCACATGCTCGCTTCGACTTAGCCATAACAGACCAGTGCACACTGCAAAAAATATAAATGAATATCTGGCTGCACACCTACACCCTAGATGTTCCCTTCTTTCTGAAAAATGTGCGCCACACGGGTAAGTCGCCAGTCTGCTGCGTCCTCGCAAGTTGCGAATGTGCGCAGCGCTGTGGTGAATAGTGCGTACACGTACACCTCGCTTTAACTTGTTTACTCGATTTAACCGCTCCACCCCTTTAATCGCTGCACGCGCCCTACCCCATTTGCGCCACTGTGAACCCCGCCCCAGGAATCGAAGTTTTCGGGAACGAGTACACGTTCTCCATGGACGGAATCACGACATGCAAGCCCAAGAGGTCGACCATCGGGCAGTACTGCAAGAGCTATGAACTGACCTTCGTGGACATAACGTATGCCCAGTTTGCTGAAATTTTAAACGCCCTCGGAAAAATATACAGACCTAACACCTACAACTTTGTGTGTAAAAACTGCAACCACTTCTGCGATGACTTGTTTGAGTTGCTCAGTGGCAAAAGATTGTTTCATACATTTATGATTTATTCTCGGTTGGGAAAATTATTCGGCAACTTTAAGAACCTAGCCTTGTGTGGGTACATCGACTCCATGGAGCTTTCCGGCAATGACAAGGAGATGTACGTGTACGCGCTCAAGCTGTCCAAGTCGATCATACGGCGGAATAGGAACTCGCCAGTCGGAGTGGCGAGCAAATCACAGAGCGGTTTCCCCACTACCTTACCTTCCAGCTTGGCGGGAAATTTCACAAGCGGCCTGCCCAGCAACTTGCCCCCATGCTTGACGAGCGGCTTGTCTACTGTCCATTTCAACAAACCAAGCGAAGATTACTGCAGTCGATTTTGCAACCCGCCCCCGATATATGTCATCCCGTACACCCCTTACGTGAATGACTCTTGCATGGTTCAAAACGTCTCTTACGGCGAGAATACCTTTAACGGTCCCATGGACAGCCTGCCTGATGAGACGCACAAGGGGTTTTTCACGAATGGCCAATTCAGAACTATTTATTCGATTAGTACGAGTGACAGCTTTTCAATGGCATAATGGGGGTAGCTATATGATAACAAAATGGTGTGAATTTTTGCGAAGGCATGTGACACACTCCTCCGTAGGAAGACCCCCTAATGGGGGATGACCGCTTGGGCTCCTTTCTGGAGGACACGGTCACTTTTTCTCGTTTTCCTCCCTGGGGCCAAATTACAACATGCGCCCTGTA